CATCATCATTACGGTACTTTTCCAATTATTTGGACTTTAGAAAAGTGGATAACCTTGTAAGATGCAGCAGTTCGACTCTTATCGCGACAAACTGTACGCTATCTCAAACTATGGTCGACTAAAGGATTATAGGCTTGTATTTTCTTTCATTTAGGAGCAGTTTGGTACTTGAAAATCTCTCTAAAAGTTTCAGATTGTTTTTCTCTCTAAATTTCGATGTAGTTTTTCTCTTTAAAATTTAAAGTTAGAGATAATTTCTCTTTATAAATTTTTTAAGGTAGTTGCTCTCTAAAAAACGTTTAGGTAATTTCTCTCTCTAAAATTTGATATAGTTTTTCTCTCTAAAATTTTAAAATACATTCTTTTTAAAACTTAAAATTTGAGATAATTTCCCTTTAAAAATTTTGAGATAGTTTTTTTCTCTAAAATTTTAAGATATTTTCTCTCTCTAGAACTTGAAATTTAAGATAGTTTCTCTAAAAATTTTGAGATGGACTCTCTCCCTAAATTTTTTTAGATAGTCTCTCTCTTTATATCTCTAAAATTTTAATACACTTTCTCTTTCTAAAACTTGAAATTTTGAGATAATTTCTCTCACTATAAATTTTCAAATATTTTTCTCTATAAAAAATTTAGGTAATTTCTCTCCCTAAAATTTGATATAGTTTCACTTTATAAAACTTGAAATTTGATATAGTTTATCTTTCTCAAAAATTTCAGGTAATTTCTCTCTCTAAAATTTGATATAGTTTCTCTCTTTTAAATTGTAAGATTTTTTTTCTCTCTAAAATTTGAAATTTGAGATAGTTTCTCTATCTAAAAATTTTAGGTAGTCTCTCTCTAAAATTTGGTATAGTTTCTCTCTCTTCAATTTTGATATACTTTGTCTATCTAAAACTTAAAATTTGAGATACTTTCTCTCTCTAAATTTTTGAGATAGTTTATCTCTAAAAAATTTCAAGTAATTTCTCTCTCTAAAATTTGATTAGTTGCTCTGTCTAAAGTTTTAAAATACTTTCTCTCTCTAAAAATTCAAATTTGATATAGTTATGCTTTTTAAAATTCTTAAAATAGTTTCTCTCTAAAAAATTCAAATAGTTTCTCTCTCTAAAATTTTTCTAAAATGTAATATAGTTTCTCTCTCTATAATTTTAAGATACTTTCTCTATCTAAAACTTGAAATTTTATATAATTTCTCTCTCTAAAAAAATTGAGATACTTTCTCTCTCTAAAGGTTTTTTTAGCAGTTTTTCTCTCTAAAATTTGATATAGTTTATCCTTTTTAAAATTTTAAGATGCTTTTTCTTTCTAAAGCCTAAAATTTGAAGTGGTTTCTCTCTCTAATTTGTGTGTATATTTTGGTATAGTTAATTGTATTTAATAAAGTGGGCAGCTCTGGTGTGAAAGTACTATTTGCATTCCCCTCTTTTCATGCTTACACAAAACATGGTTTTGGATAACTCAATTTTTTTCTTGGTTTTGGGTACCCATGTTTTGGCCCTATTTATAGGTTACTATCAAGATACCTAGGTTTACAAAACATAGTTTTGGATAACCTAGGATCCAAACGACCCCAAAGTGTTCAAGAAAATGAAATCTATGTAGTTTTTTTTTTTGTCTCCCATCTATAAAAAAAACAATCTTCAAAGTTGGAACCCAAAATCCAAATCCAATAAACTCTCCCAAGTAGTTATTTTGCTCAATGCAATCTGTTGCAATTATGCTCCACCAATATGTGCTCTATTGGTAACAGAGAGAGAGAGAGAGAAGAAGAGAGCCATGTTCAAGATTCATAAACAAAAGCACGTTACAAAAAAAAAAAAAAAAACAAAAAGAAAAGGATTCATAAATAAGAGCATGTATACTTGCTACTACAGGAGAAAGAGCTACTTTGGAGGATATTTTACATATGTAATTCTAAAATCCACTTGAAAATCACTAGATGGTTATTTTACAAATAATTAGTTTCCGTAAATTCTTGAACATTCAGATGTTACTGTCAAAAAATGGATAGTTTTTGTTCAGGAGAAGGATATTATTTCTCTATGGGAAGAAGTTTATATGGAGCCGAGGTTTTAAACGATCAAATTAGAGCCCACATTAAACATTTCATTAGAAGATGTTGTTTTGATGCATAATATTTTTAATTGATCGTCTCGACATCAAGATATATGGACATTAGAAAAAAAAGGATCTCAACTTTTGAAAATAGTGCATCTTATAACGCATTTTTGTCATTCAATTTTCAAGTTTTCATAGATTGCTCAATCTACACTACTTTTGAAGCTTTAAATATTATAATTAAAGATAAAAAAATATTTTAAGGCTATCACAAATATTGCCAATATTGAAACCACATTTCTCGACATTATTTGAAGGTGCGCTTTACTTTGATTGTTTAGAACCTCAACTCCCTACAAACTGCGCCCTTTAACTACTTATCTATTTTTTCTCATGGTTGACCTCTAGGTTGAACATAGTACATCCCTAAAATTTCCGGGCTTAGAAAATACTCCTAGATTAGGTTTTACCTACAGAGTGAAAAAAAAGGGAAAATAAAAAAACAAAAACCCCTAAAATGAGACTTTGAAGACAATATATCTCTAACAAAGCTTTTTCTAACAATTTTTACTTCAAATTGAGCTTTTTTTAGCAAATACCATGACATGTCAAAAGTCAACTTTTTTTTGACGAAAATCCCTATAGTGCCCCATTGCCCTCAATTTGTGCCGGACTACATGCCCAAAGTGCCGGACCATTCCCATTTTATGTTGGACCACATACGTTTTAGAGGGTATTTTGGTTTTTATTTTAATTTTTTTTTTATAACTTGAGGGTATTTACTAGAAAAATTAAAATTGAGGTAAAAAGTGAAAAAAAAAGTTTAGTTGGAGGTAACTTGCATGGGAAGTCAATGTTATTAATAAATTTTTTTTTTTTACAAAAAAAAAGAAAGTCATGGGATCCCTTTAGGTGGAGTGGTAAAGGTTAGTAAATTATATTAGAGTGGGGACTTTTGGGCTTAAGCCTAAGAAATAGGGGGTTAATAAATTTGCAGTTTGAATAAAGAGAGAAAGTGACGTTTAAGTGAACAAGAGGTAACGCAAAACACTGGAAGTAGAAAGTACGGGATCTAACATCGTGCAAAGCAAAAAGTTATGGCAAAGGCTCATACTGTCTCTCCACTCTCTCTCTCTCTAGTTAGTGCCAAGGCTCATATTCTCTCTCCACACTCTCTTCTCTCTCTAGTTAGGGCCAAGGCGCATATTCTCTCTCCACACTCTCTCTTCTCTCTCTAGTTAGGGCAAAGGCTCATACTCTCTCTCCACTCTCTCTTTCTCTCTCTCTTCTCCATGACTGTGAGGTGATTTTATGCTCATGTGGGAGTAGATTTTAGATCCATTCTCTCTTGTATGGTTAGTTCAATAGTCCTTTTTGTGCTTAAAACGGGTAATTGTGTTGGGATTGAAACATAGATCAATCCAAGTTTGGAGGATTCTATGAACTCAAAGTTTATCTTTTTTTGGGAAAATAATTATTCAATTGTCCTAAAATATGATCAAAATAATATTTTTGGGGACTTTTGGTAACTGGAAGCTAGGGATTATGTGAAACCTGGATATTATAGGTCCCTAGAAGCTGGAATTAGTGATATTTGGAGCTTATGAAATTCTTGTTTAATAACATGTTTGGGAATTCTCAAATATATGGAAATCATGATTCATAGTGATCTAACAAAGCTTCATATACATTAAATCACGACTTTATATAGAGATAGATAGAAAAGAGAGAGAGAAATGGTACAGCTAGAAAGAGAGGATTCAAGAGAGGAAGGCGACAGAGAGAAAAAAAATTAGAAAGAGAAAAGGCACATTTAGAGAGGAGAAAATGAAGTAGAGAGACAAAGGGAACAACTAAAGAGAATTTAGAGTGAGCCAGAAAGGTGCATATTTGAGAAAGAAAGGGGATAGAGAGATTTAGAGAGAAAAGAGGAGAGAGAGGCACATTAGAGAAGAGGAGCTATAGTGGCAAATGAATTAGGGAGATAAATGACATAGGCATCGTTAGAGAGAGGCATTGGAGATAGGAAAGACAGAGATAGATGCTCAGAAAAAGAAAAAGGGTTGATTAGAAAGAAAAAGGAGTTGGACAATGTTAGATAGAAAGAAAGGACCTTGGAAGTTAAAAAAGAAGGCGAAAGGACAACTTCTTGGGTAAGTGAAAAAGCGCTGTTGAAAGGGTATGAGTCGTGGTGGTAACATCCTACATCTTAGCCATCACGTTGTTGTTTTTATTCGCACCAACACTTTAGAAAGACTAATTCCTAAACTATTTAAGAAAATGGATAGGGGAATGTCTTCCCTACTGAATTACCAAAAAAAAAAAAAACTGAAGTGTTCGAGAGCTGCAAGTTTTTGTCATCAAATTCGCCATCTTTTATCGAACAAGAAAGGAAAATTATTTCTTGCGGGCTAGACTTATTTTCTATAATATGAAGTTCAGAAGTATAAAGCATCCATCTTTATCCATCTTAAAGATGGATGCAAATAGGCGGTCCATCTAAAAACAATTGTAACTAAAGATCCAAATGTTTTTTTAATATAATTATTTTTTCTATTTTTTTTTTCATATTCATGACCCATGTTAAAGATTATATCTTATCTAAAAATTAGGATCAAATTATTTTAAAACATATAGTTATTACGAAGCCCGCATTTCTACAATATGCGGGCTGGCCGCATAGAAACCGTGTCCAACGAGAAAATATAACAGTAGACTAGTAAACTGCGTTTCCAGCTTTTCAGTGCTAAAACCTCCAACCACATTTGCCCAAGCAAGTGTACAGTGTGATCTCAAAGGAGCACCAAGCAACGGCTCGTTCACTAACTCCTCGTACATCTTGTTGGTCGCTTTTCTCTCTCTCTTGTTCATGTCTTAATTTATTGACTGCAATTTGACTTGCTCGAATATGACGGCCATAAAACTGCCTCCCATCTTTTTCCTTACATGTCTGGCACACACTTTGGACTTTGATCGTCCTCCACTCTTTTACTCTCTCTCTCTACTTTATTTTGCCAAGGAGTTTAGAGAGAGAAAGCTTGGAGGGGTCAGTCATGGTTTCCTTTCTCTTACTTCTGCTCCTTGTTCCAATCTCACTGCACTATTTCTCTTTCCTCTCCTTTGCATATCCTTTTGGTAAGTGGCCCTCCAATGCCCCCTCCCCTGCTTAATCCTCCATTTTTTTTTTAACCTTCTTTGGCCCCCATTTTTCTTTTATTAGTTGATTCTGGATGCTTTTGATGCTGGTTTTCAACCCTTAAGTTCAGCATTGTTTAGCTTCTTTTGAAGTAACTTTTACGATTGGGATTTCTGATCTTGTTGATTTTTCATCATATAGTTATGCTAGATGTTATGCATTTTGCTTTTGATTTGAATGGGCTTGTCTTCTGTTTATTTATCTTGTTTTTCTCTCGAAATTGAGCTTGATTTTCAGAGCTCTGCTGCAGATTTAGTTGTAGAAATAGAAGAACAAAACAGTGAAATGATAATGTACTTACCCATTTAAGCTTTATCTTATCGTTAAATTATGAGGACCGTGACCACTATCATATTACTCTCTGCTTTAATATGGATCTTTTGTTATTTTTTTTTGTTAGTTTTATCAAATCGATTGATAATACTTAGTATTGGATTAGCGCAGTGTCTCTTTCTCCCTCTTCTGTTTTGGTCTTCCTTTGTATGTGTCCATGTATGACTACAATTTGCACCACTTGATAGATTTGTTCCTTTCAATAGTGAAAAATGATACCAGCAGATAGACTATTAGACCTCCCTTTCTCTCTCTCTCGTCATCTCTATCTACAGAATTTGAATTGAGTGAATTCGGTTGAACAGGAGTATCATACTTCATCGATTCTGGTGGTCTCAGTAACTTCACAAGCCAGTTCAACCAGTCCTGGATCTCAGATAGGTTCTACACTGGTGGTGCCCCTGGGTTAGTTGCCGAGCCCCACAATTTTGAACAATTGCAAGAAAGGACCATCCGCTTCTTTCCCATTTCGTTCGGCAAGAAGAACTGTTACATAATCCCTGTTCCCAATGGTCGATACTTCATTAGAACCTTCACTGTGTACGACAACTATGATAGCAAGATGAACTCTCCCAGTTTTGATGTATCAGTTGAGGGGACTGAGGTTTTTAGCTGGAGGTCACCTTGGCCTGAGGATGTAAGCAAGAACGGGGCTTATTCTGATCTCTTTGCCTATATTAAGGATGGCGAAGCCACTGTATGCTTTTATAGCATAGCCACTGATGCCCCTTTGATTGGATCTTTGGAAATTGTACAGGTCGATCCTCTTTCCTATGACTCTTCAACTACCGGGGAGCATCTCATATTGGTGAACTATGGACGTTTGACTTGTGGATCCAATTCCTTTGGGTCAGGCTTTAGCAATGATACTGATTATTTCGGAAGAGCTTGGCATTCAGATGTAGATTTTCGAGCAAAGAATTCAATTATGAAATCGCTTTCAACATTAAAGGACATAAAGAGTACTGTACAACCCCATGATTATACCCCTACCCATTTGTATCAAACGGCTCTTACAACTACTTCCAATTTGAAATTAGAGTATTTATTACCTGTGGATACAAGGTTGGACTACATGGTCTGGTTCCACTTTGCTGAGATTGATCCTGGGGTCACTAAGGCAGGACAACGGGTGTTTGACATATTCATCAATGAGGATAATGTGAGCAGGATTGATATTTTCAAGGAAGTGGGTGGTTTCACTGCTTTTAGGTGGCATTACACTGTGAAGAACTTGAATAGTACAACATTAAGCATACAGCTTGTTCCGGTTGTTGGCACTCCCCTGATTAGTGGTCTCGAGAACTATGCTCTGGTCCCATTGGATCTTTCCACTGTTCCTGAACAAGGTACAACTTGTTAGTCTTTGTTTTGGCATGATTTTCCTCTTGCCTCATATTTATTTCATTCTCAACTTTAAAGGAAATGTCTTCCAGATATCCATCATTATCCAAAAAAGTAATATCATATTCCATGGAGTATAATAAACATTACAACAAAGCAGTTTCGAGTGCTCTTGATGATGAGAATGGAGATTAATCAGGAACATACATTGGTTACCCCCATGGATTATCATACACCATTCTCTGTTGCATTTACAGTATACTTTCCCAGACTAGCATGGGTGTTCAGTGGTATTAAATTTTACATTAGATTGGTAACTACATGAATGCATTTAAAATTACCGTTAAGTTGAGCAACTGTAAATCACTTGCATTGCCTAATGTTTGTGCACTATGGGGTGACTTTGGTTGCAGTTCTTGCTATGCGAGCATTGAAAGAGTCCCTTAGGGTACCTGACAGAATGGGTTGGAATGGTGATCCTTGTGCGCCTTCTACTTGGGATGCTTGGGAGGGGGTTACTTGCCATCATAATGAGAAAGAATCTGGCCTTGTCATCACACAACTGTAAGAAACACTATACACTTCTATTTATTTATTGGTGAACAAGAAACCTCACTAAATGGATTAACTACATAAATTTAAAACAATGGTTTCCGAGGAATCCTTAAACCATGTACTGTTGATGCTAAGCACTAGACTGCCACATTATTCTTCCAAGCTTTTCTTGGAGGATTTCCAATATTTGTTGATATTTCAATAGTGAACCTCCATTTGTTATTGTAATGAATGACTATTAACTAGTGAGTATTTTATAATTAATAAGTGAGCTCACCAAGATACTTTAATTTTAAATGTACCGCCTACAGGCCCCATATAAGCCTATTCTTATCAATGGTAACCATTCTAGATTCGTCAAAAAAAAAAAAAAAAAACGGAAACCATTCTAATGATATGATCACCGAAATATATCATGATAATGCTGAGATCTCTAATACTAGACTCTAGTGGCATAATTAAGAAACATACTACCCTCTAGATGAGAGCACAGACACAAAATAACATTAATTCAATTTAAATTTTTTAGCCGGCTAGAGTTGCCAAATTCCATATAATGTTTTTAAAAGGTCACAAATATTAAAATAAGAAAGATTAATATACAGTGGCTTTTGCCTATATAGTACATGATTCAGATCACCATAAAGGCATTAGTTAGCACTGATTCACCACAAACCAACCTTTTTTAGCCATCGAAATTGAAGAAATTTAAGTTTTAACTGAGTCAAAAGAAAGAAGACAAAATTTCCCTTTAAAATCAGCTCCATAACTCCTGAAGAAGGCCCAGCTGTAAGTTTTGCCTCATGAAACTCAATGGCTATGTCACTCTAGTTTTGCCCCGGTTGTAAGTTTTGCCCCAACTGTAGAATCCCCAGCTGCTATAGTTTTTTATTTTATAAATGCATGTACATGATACAACTTCCAATCCATCATACAAAGCTATCAATTTCTAAGTTTCATACTTTCTAGGAGCATGAGAGTTTGATTTTTCACAACATTTTCTCATATCATGGATGCAACTTAATTCACTCGTTTGGTTTTGTTCTCAATGATCTAGTGTCAAATGGTACGCAACTGGATAACAATGACTTTTATTGATGAGGAAAATGAAGACCCTAAACAATTTAGATGGTTTGGATCTCACACATGACATTTCATGTATTTTTTAACACATGTGCGAATGCCACTTGGTGGAAATATGAAATCAGCTTTGGAAGACTACTGCGATGTATTGTGTCCGACTTTGTCAAAATCTATTGATTGGACATATAAGGATTAGAATTTTTGGATGGTGAAACCCTGGGGCTTCACCAAAGGTTCATTATTATCATCGTCATCAGAGCCTTTCCCAACTATTTGGGGTCGGCTACACGAATCCTGGTTCGTCATTCTGCTCAATCAAGGGTCATATCGTCAGTGAGGCCATGAGTCCCAATATCTTTTTCTCACTACTTTCAACCATATCCTTTTGCGCATACTTTTTACCCTTTTTGAGCCTTCCACTTGAACCAACTCGCATCTCCTAACAGGTGCCATACTAGGTATGCGTTGTACATAGCCATCCCACTTAAGTCTACTTTTTCTCATCTTATTGCTTATTGGAGCTACACGTAAGTTCTCTTGAATGTATTCGAAAATGAATTTTGTCCCTTCTTGTCTTGCCACTCATCTATCTTAACATCCTCATCTCAGCTACACTCATCATATAGCTATTTAGCTTCTTGACCGCCCAACATTCTGCCCTATGAAACAAATCTGGTCTTATAGCTGTCCTATAGAACTTCTCCTTCAGCTTCATTGGTATGTGGCGATCACATAAAACGTTGTTTGCATATCTCCACTTTGTCTATCCAGCTCTAATTCTATGCATGACATCTTCTTCAATCTCTTCATTTTCTTGAATTATCGACCCAAGATATCGAAAGTGCGCTCTTTTTGGTATTCTTGGCCGTCAATCTTAACTACTTTCTTGTCTCTACTTCTATAAATACTAAACTTGCATTCCATGTACTATATCTTAGTCCGGCTAATTTTGAAACCTTTAGGTTTAAAGCATCTCTCCAAAGTTCTAACTTTGTGTTGATGCTGTCACGGGTCTCATCAATCAAAACTATGTTGTTTGCGAACAACGTACACTATGATACCTCATCTTGTAGGTGTTAAGTCATCCATAACTAGGACAAAGAGGTTTGGGCTCAACACTAACCCTTGATGTAGACCTATCATCACTGAAAACTCTCTTGTCTCTCCACTTGTTGTTCGCACACTAGTTAGCGCTCTCTCGTACATATCTCTTACCAAGTCGATATGTTATTTGAAGACTCTTTTCTTTTCCAACCATCACCAAATCAAATCTCGATATACCATATCATAAGCTTTCTCTATATCAATAAAGGCCATGTGGAGGTCTTTTCTCTTTGCCCTAAACTTCTCAATTAGTTGCCTAAGGAGGAAAATAGCCTCAATTGTTGACTTTCTTGGCATAAAATCGCATTGATTTTTTGATACACATGTTTCATGCCTTAGTCGTTGCTTAATGCCTCATTGCAAATTAATTTTAGAAGTTGTTAGTGTCGACTGATTTCATGTGCTATGAAATGAACCCATAAAAATTATACATAGATCTGAAGTAGCAAAAAAACTGAAATATATCCCTCAGCATTTATATTGTTGCCCATACATGCATGCATACATACATACATACATACATATATACATACACACAGACATACATGCATACAAACACACACCTAGAGACACACACACACACACTCACATGTACAGAAAATGATGATATAATAGCACTGCATACTAAGCTTCAATAGAAGAAACTGGAACTGAGGATTGCTTTTCATTTCTCCATGATACTCTACATGTGGTTTGTAGGAATATGAGCCTTGGTGTGACTTTGCCTTTATCGAATCGTTTTGCCAAGCAGAATTTAATTTCCTTTCATCGATTTTTATAATTCTGTATTAATACTATTATTTTTCAAGTTAAAATGCACTATCATGCTATATATTCTTTTTTATGTGCGCTAATAATTAATCATTTAGGTTATTAAATTGTCATGCTAAATAATCAATTAAAACATTTCTAGCAAGGTGGTTTAAAAGTGTAGCTTTGCCTGGACGTATTGCTAGAAAATATCCTATAATCATTCAGTGCAATTTACCTACCAAGTGTAGGTTTGCTTGTTGATATACCTTTATCAACTGTTGCTATTGTATTTCTTATAGAACTTTTTAAGATACCACGGCATCAAACCAAGCATCTGCCTGGAAAGTGAAAAGGAATCGTGTCTTCCTCTGGAAACATGAATAGCAGTTCCTGTTGTCCATCAGTATGACACATTCGAACAAGCCTGAACCCTGATAAAAGTCTTTTTTATTGGGTAACCAGCTTGTTTACCTATAGATGTCTTTAAAAAGAAAAATTCAAAACTTTAGACTGTGAAACCTAGTGGTTCATTCGTGAACACTGTGTCACTGTGCTTAACCAATGATAATTTAACATGCAAATTAATTTACATATTTGGACTTCCAAAAGGCAAATTGATTGGACAAGGATCCAATGCCATCGAAATTGGCCTGTTATGGTATTTTTAAAAGATTCTCAACGAAATAGGTGGTTCTAATGACTCGTTTCCTTTTGTTTTCATACTTCCTTTTTCACACTTTTTGACTGCCATGCCTACTTATACATTTGTGGAAGGTAACATAAAGCTTATTATCATTATATGCTGTTCTGGCTTAGCTTTATGTATCCACTATTCTATAAAGTGTAAATACAATACTTTTGAGAACATTTTGCATTTGATACTGTTGCAGCCTTCATCTTGATTTGCAGTTTATGATCTCAATAGGGACCTCGGAAGTCAAGGTTTGAAAGGATATATTAGTGAGCAGATAAGTCTTCTATCAAATTTGTTAAGCTTGTAAGTATCGTACTTCAACTGTTATCCACTCGTCTTGCAAAATTAGCTTTTCTGTGAACTTAAATTCAGTATTTTCAGAAAACAATGCATAGTAATGATATAATACTAATTCCATGCCATGATATATATTGGTCAAATATGTTTCTGAAAAATCCTCATCTATGTAGAGCTTCAGTTCGTGAAGCATCTTGTTCATGTTGGGTTGAGGTACATCAAATATTTAAGATAAAATACGAAGAGGAACAACATATAGTCGAAATGTCAATGTTGTTTCCGTACTTTGAGAACTCTATACGTACCTTTACTAGAGGTGGGGTTCAAGTTGGGAGTAGGGAGCATTGAATGCATAATAATAGCAAGTAAAGAAAAGTTCCCACAAGTGTTGTTCTTCTCTCTTTTCCTTTTGAAATAAGTTCTTTTAAGAACATTTCCCTTTGCCAAAAAAATTTCCCTAATTCAAAATCATGATAGTGGATGAAGTTTAGTTGAATAAATTTAATTGTTAAATATCCAAAATGTGAAACTTTTAACAATACCTCTGAGCATCACCATTTTGGAAACACAGTGATGCTCCATTGCATTGACCTTGGTCTTGCTTGAACAAGGAAGATATGACACGAACTATTTATTATATGAAAACTTAAATGACTGCATCAGAGATCTAGCTTGCTGTTTATTATGTCATAAGTACAGTTCTTGTTATTTGAAAATTGAAAGGTCGACTAGGAAACTGGGCAAGTCAATACCGATTAAAATTTTTCTACTCTTTTATACGTATTGCCACCCGGATCACTTACAAGTGTCCAAAATACAATTTTGACTTAATGAAATAGCCTAGACCTCTCACTGGCATGCCATTAAAAGAAAATTACATTCATCATGTAGAACTGAAAATTACATAAGGAAGCAATAGAAGCAATAGAAATACGAATTGTGAAATACTGCGTACCTTGCCTCAGGTTACCCCCAAGGACTTCGTACACCCCATACTGGGTCTCCTCCACTGATGGTGCACAGGATCTTGGTTCAAGAACAGACCTTACAATTAGGGAAGCCTAGGCAAAACCTTAGAGAGCATCACATGGGATTTTCTTGACCAAGGCTCAACACATGAGCATGAGGCAAGGACTTATGGCTAGAGCTTGTGTGGCTTGGGCGTGCCACCCCTTAGGGTTAACTCTTTCCTAAATGCTAATTTGGATGAGAGAAGAAGAGAGAGAGAAGGTAGAGAGAGATTGAGAAATAGAACCCCCATAGGTAGTTTTTATAGACAAGAGGCTAGGGTTTTGCCATCATCATGAGGTTGAATCTTGACATTTGATTTTGTAGAGAAAGTAATCAATCAATCAAAATTAATTTCTTACACTTTGCTATTTTGAAATCAATCGCTATCAATTTCTTACACCATCCTATTTTGAAATCACTCACAATTAATTTCTTACACCTTCCTATTTTGAAATCAATCAAATCTATGTACAAAAAGGTTACCTAAAATATCAAGTTAACATATGGCATAATTGCCATTTTTCAATTTAGGACAGTATGGAGGAGGTGAGTGGCCATGTGGGCCTCACACCCCCACAATATGGTGGGCCCAATGAGCCCCCAATACCTTAAACATAATTTCAGATAATAAAATAATTTTATAAAACCTTCAAATATTTTATTTTTCTTTCTGATTAAAATAAATCCAGGAAATTGATTTTTATCTATTTAAAAATCATATTTCAATAAAATAAAATACGTAGATAGGTCTAAAAATTCATTTTAATTATCTGAAAAATAATTAAAACATATCCAAGAAAGTTTGATGGGAATTGGATCCATAGGGTGAGGATTACGACAAATACACTGGGGAATCTATCATCTTTAGAGACCGCATCTCAGTGCACCTTCTCAAACTGACCCAATCATCCCATGACCCACAACCCATCGTAGGGATTCATGATTGGACCATCAAAGTCAGCTAATAAGTGGAGAAGATACGATTCTAGACTATGGATTACAGGTCCCTCCTTGAAGACAAGTCCAGGACCCATTTCAGCAGTATGCTCCATGGGTCCTTCCAACACAGTCCAGTGTTGCAGGGAGTCATCTCTTCTGCACATGTACACATCATACACGCTTATCTAAAGTGTCACTTCTCGGACGGCTAAGATGAGAATGTTGAGATGGATGAGTAGAATGACAAGAAATGATAGAATTTGAAATGAATGCCTTCAAGGGAACTTAGGTATGGCTTCAATAGGTGATAAAATGTGGGAAAGTAGACTTGGTGACTGGCCATGTGCGGCGTAATCCCAATACAATATCGGTTAGTTGGTGTGATTTGGTTCAAGTAGAAGGCTCTAAAAGAGTAAGGGAAAGACCTAAAAGGACATGAAGGTCAGTAGTGAGAAAGGATATGTGCACTTATTGTCTTATTGAGGGTATCACCCTTGCTAGAGTAGAATGGTAGAATAGGATTCGTGTAGCAAACTTCAAATAGTTGGGATAAGGTTCCAATGATTATGTTATGGTTCATTCTCTTCATAAATATTTGTTGCTCTGTTGCACAAACTTGAAGGAATGTGATCTCCATTTGTTGCATAAATTGTGATTTATCGAGCAACGACTAGTTTTAATTAATTGGAGGCACTGGATACAAAATAGAAGATTTTGAAAATAGAGACAACAAAGAGGACTGTATTGTGAAAATGTTGCATACCAACATAAGCTCATTTGCATTGATACTAGTACGTATGGCATAGCTACAAAAGAGCTTATATGCTATTTTAGTTAAGTCACTGGGTTAAAAGTATAACAGGAAAACATTTCCCAAATGGAGTGTATTTCCTAGGTTTTCCATATCATGTGTAATGCATAGCCTGGCTGAATGCTCTCATCTTGTCAAGCTATGCAAAGGACATTTATAATGATGATAATTTTGATGCTCCAAAGTTCCATTCTTCGAGAGATTTGTGAGTTGCTTTTGCATCTCGCAGTGCCCAGTACATGCTTCACGGGCCATCATCCATTCATTTGCATGGGAATAGCTTGCCTCGTGAGTCAGTGACTAGCGTCATTTTTACTAGCAGGGGGGATTGGCACGAATGCTAGGCTGGCCTATGAGTCCTTGCTTTCCCATCAGGCTAACCTGATTAGCCTATCAAGCAAGCCTGGCTTGCTCTATTGGATTGTCTGGCAAACCCATCTGGCAAGCTTGTAAAGCTAGCTCTACCATGGCTTGTTGTGTGGTAGGAGAGGGCTAGCCTGGCTTGCTCTCCTCATAAGAAAATGATGTGGTCACTCTGCTGGCCGATAAACTGAGGAGGCTTGATCAGACTAGCGTGCACCATGGATGTGTCACAAGGCTGCTCTTTCACCAGCCTATATGTGTGGCCTTTGACTCTTGAGTCTGGATGCTGAAGAGGCCAAGTTGAGCCTATCACTTGCACCCACACACAAGCAAATAGACAACAAAAGGGACAAGGGCCCTGGCCGAATTTTATTGAATTATACACTTACAAGTATAATGCACCAAATGCCCCTCAAGGGCCTGGGACCGGGACTTAAACCTTTGCCTATTACATGGTTTTTTGATTTCAAAATCCTGGGTGGCAAATACTTTGGCATGATCTTCATGGTGCACCATTATACCTACTTTATGGCTTGTGGCCTACAAAGTACACTTATGGTCTCTAGCCAACACCTTGCTTGAATTTGAACTTGACAATTATGGTCAAACAACTTTCCCATTCAATCCTATCGTCTAGCTTGCTCACACAAATGTGACCATTTTTGGTGGTGGGGTCCGGGCCTTTGGCATCCCATACCACAACTGCCTAGCTTCCCACCGAAGGTCAGTCCACGGATGGAGGTCCTCCCTTTTATAGGTTTGTCGATCTAAAAAAGTGGACTACTAGGAGAGAGAGCTAGATCCCGCCAAGCAGTACAAGTGCATCAAAAAGTACAAGACATGCGGGTATTTTTCGATTTTTGCAAGTACCAGCTAGTCATTTCTTCATTTGTTAGGCATATTAAGGGAGTTTCCCGCACTGTGCCCACATCCCACATGGATGTGCCTTGCTAGGGTTTTGACCAAGCTTCCCCTATGAAAAATTCTTGCTGTCCTTGTCAGTTCATAGATAAAAACTCCCGGGTTAGACCCTTACATTCCTACGGGGTCGCATCCTTTTCCCAACAAGTTTCTTCTAATGGCAAGTCCTTCTTATTAGCCAGAAACACAACTCTTCTGATCTTCTTGCTTTAGCCCAGGACCCGTCAAGCCAAGATAGCTTAAAATGTTTGCTTGGACTATGTTCTTAAAACTCGCGCATGAACTACGTTCATCGAGCCAAGATGGCTTATTGCCCGAAATTGAAATCTACATGAAGCCTTGAGCATAGCCTCTAAATCTTGTCCTTCACACATCGCTCTAACTGAAAATATGAAGCTATCATTAATAAAAACGAAAAATGTACAAACTGTCTTGATTGATTATTTGATGCACTTTGGGTTGAAAATGGTACAATACATACAACTCCAATCCCCGTTGATTCAAGCTTTCCTGTGTTTTTTATTTTTTTCCATTCAATCATATAACAAGTTTTAATTTCCTGATTTTCCTTTCTACTTTCTTTGAAAATTGTTTTTAGCCCTGTTGCAGTATTTCTTAATCATACTTCTAATGTTACAAACTTTTGAATTTTAGCGCTGTTGCAGTTGCAGTATTTCTTAATGATACTTCTAATGTTACAAACTCTTGAATGTGTGGTTTGCAGGAATTTAAGTTCTAATTCCTTAGTAGGTAATTTGCCTTCAAGATTGGGACATGGGTCTCTTATAAGGCTGTATGTTCTACTTCCCTCTTTTTCTTGATTTCACTATTGTGATCTTTGTTTCTCGAACTAGAAATGTTAGCTTCTAAAAAATATGGCATACTTTGTACTATTGCACCATTAATAGCTTCATGATTGACATCCTTCTTGAAATTCAATGAGCATTGTCGTTTTCTAGTCTAGACATTTTTGGTTTGCTCCTGTACTTGTTTCTAGTTATAGCCATTATAGCCACTATGCCTCTCTGTGGATGCGATGGAACTTCTTGTTTGGTCATTGTCAATACATATTTGATATGCTAAATAAAGGGGTAGAGAGAAAACTTCATATTTCTCTCAGTGGTTTTTGTTCCTCCGTAACTTCCTTTTGATCTTCATAATTTTCTCTCATTTATTTAATGGATGTAGGTGTCGGAATTCCAAATGCTCGACCTGAGAGTTGAGAGAATGGTCCATACTATCCCTCTTCTTCCTCTATTTATCTGGTTTTATTGGGAAATGTGCAACCATTCCATTGCTAGATATGGGCATATGCATGTGCAGGACTGGGCATGTCACTTTCTGTGTTATAACATTTTCTTGGATTACTTGGATCTTTTAGCTCTTACTCTACTTGTTTGCATGATTTTGTCTGTTGAAATATATGTTGAACATTAAAAATTTAGTCTTATAGGTTGTTACAAGTTGCCCTAAGACTCTTAATCTTTAAAGTTGTGTGGCTGAGATCTGCATGTCATTTATATTTTGTTGAGCATGCATTGAATATGCATCAGTGCTCTCACTAGCTCTGTTATAGTCAACCATTTATTCGAGTGCATTAATAGGATAAACCTCCTCTTATCACATTCCATCGAGCTTGAGACCTACTGTTGGTTTCCCTCTGGCTCTTGCATGGTTTTGTGGTGGCCATCCCTTGTATTGTTGCATGCCTTCATTATCTTTCATAAGGATCGCTATGTGCTCCAGACTTGTTGGTTGATTGGAACATTACAACCTAAAATAGCATTTGTTGAAGGTCTCTTTTCTTTTAGCTTGGTGCAATAGCTGATCATGTATTGAACCATACAGATTTCAACGTTGAACGCACTTAAAGATGACCTTAATTTACATGTATAGTTCATGTGAAAGGTGGGTCTCATTGAATTGTTTGCCTTGTCCTTGATTGCATCTCAATCTAGTTATTTGTGGTTTTGCATTTCAATCAGTGTAATTTTTCAATTTCAAGACTTCAGATCTTGGCTTTGAATTCTACATTTTATTTTGATATGACATATCTAATCTGTTGCTTTTCTTCTTTCTTCTTTCCTCTTTTCTTTCTCTCTCTCTCTCTCTATATATATATCTTTTTTCTTTCCGTTCTTTATTTTTTTTGATAGGTAATGTGGGTTTTGAGTGGCAACCTTCTTGTTGAAAACAAGAGCATTTTTATTGAGTTATAGGCTTAAGCCTGTTCTCTCTAATTATGATGTTGCGCTGCTTACTTGATTATATACCTTGTTCATATGCTTCCTTGAAACAAGGGTTAATGACCACCACACCCCTTATTTAAGTAAGGAAAAAGTTTATATAAGGGCGAGGCCCTGAACAATCAAATTAAGACGCACCTCAAAAATTTCAATAGAAGAGGTTGTTTCAATGACAAAAAATCCTCAAATTGATCATCTCGACCTCAAGATGCATGGACATTAGAAAAAATGAATTTCAAGTCTTGGAAATAGTGCATATGCATTTTTGGACCGTCAATTTTCAAGAGTTCATAGATCTACTTGATCTACACTATTTTTGAAGCTTTAAATTTTATAATTAGAGATGAGAATAAATTTTCAGGCCATCACAAAGATTTCCAGCATTGAACAACATCTCTCAACACTATTTGAAGGTGCGCCTTACTTTGATTGTTTAGGGCCTTGGCCTTTTACAAACCACATCCTTTAAGCAATATAGATATGCTATTTTACAGCCTTAACCATGAAAACAAAAATTTTGGTGGTTAGAATAATAGAATTTGCATCTTTACATAAATAAGGTTCCATAGCGGCTATAACCATAGTAAGAATAAATAAATTTGAGCAAAAACAGTTTTCTTGTTAAATTAAATAATGAATCATGAGTGTAAGTGTTGTAAATGGATTACATGAGTGTAAATGATAGAAATAACATGTGTACAATTATCTAAAGAAAAAGATCAAAGGCTTTTGATGGATTGATTGCAATAATGTGCAACAGTTCAACACTCAAAAAAAAAAAAAGTAATGTGCAACAGTTCTCAACATCCATTCTATATCTAATGCCCCAGTGATGTTACTGAGTACAGTACACTGCATACACAATAGGAGAACCCCTCACCAACCTCGTTCCATAAAGGCACCAAGTGTCATTTAAGAAAATTGCTTGCTATCTTAATTATAACACTGGGAGTGGTAAAGCAGCATCATTGCTACACTATTAAATATAAAAACAAATTACAATCATACATATTTTATTTCAATCAGTGCATCTTCTCCTATAAGTTCGAACAAATCTGAGATTTGTGTGCAAATGATCAATTTTCTTGTCTGTGCTAGGAATTTCTCCCTTAATTTTTATTGACATGATTTGTACTTCTTTAGGTACATTCGACCAATGCATCTTCTCCTATAAGTGTGAACTAATCTGAAATTTTGTGTGCAAATGGTGTATTTTCTTATCTGTGCTAGGATTTTCTCCCTTAATTTGCATTTACATGGGATTTGTACTTCTTTAGGTACTTCCTTTTACTTGTACCATTCATAACTAATTTTTTTTGGCTTCTTTTTGTCTAGAGATCTATCGAGCAATCTATTCACGGGGAGCATCCCTGATAGTTTGGGCTCCTCAAATCTTCAGCTTGTGTAAGTAATCTGCTGTACTTTTAAAACGTTATTTCACCTCTTTGACTTTTGATTGATGGCTAGCCAAGTTATTGGCTTGTTTGGCTGTTCTTGTTGCCATATATATATATATATATATATATATATATGTATATATAGGAAGATACTACAAAACGCCTATAGGCAAAAATGAACAGTGATTTCGTCTACCCTCATCACCATCTAAATTTCATCGCACGGTCACAATTGTCCGGCAGTATTTCAATTTTCATTTCTTTTACTAATCGGAATTATCTGAAATAGTTGGGCAGCGTCACCCTTTGGAGATGAAGGTGGGTTCAACCCTGGTTCTTTAGTCTCAAGTTGAATACCCTGACTGTGTTGAGTAGCTCGAGCCATGCAGACTTGCTGGACTACAATGGGTTAGCCTGGCTTAGCTCTGGGTGTGGGATTATGGACCCACTGAAACTTGATATCTACTGATTTGAGACAGGGTAAACCTAGGGAATTGAGCCATAAGGTCCTGTAGGTCTAATGGTCTAGACTATGTAGTAGACTTAATAACTTAGTCACCATGAACTATGGACATAACTCAAGACTATGCACAAAAATCTCACTTTTTTTTCTTTTTTTTTCTATCTAAGAAAAATGTCTTTTAAAAAATGAGATAAAGATGCTTTAAAAGAAAAATATGTTTTGTTTTAGCGAGAATAAAGGATGCTTCTAAAGAAGATAAAGTCAAGAAAATTCTAAGTTATGCAGATAAGACTTAAAAACAAAAGTTAAGATAAAAAAAATATATAATCTATTTCTAATCTAAACAGATAAAGTAGAGAAAGCTTAGATCTATCTTTTTTTGTTTTTTTTGTTAAAAATATTTTATCAAAAGAAATAAAAATTCTTTTTTATAGAAAATCGATAAAGAGTCTTTTTAAAAGATGTTTTCTAAAAAGATAAAGATACACTTAAAGAAGATAAGTACGATCTAAAGAAGATAAAAGATGCTACTAAAGAAGATAAGGATGCTTCTAAAGAAGATCAAGATAATTTAAAACATTATAAAAAATATTCTAAAGAAGATAAAGATGATCTAAAAGATGATTAAGAATGCTCTAAAGAAGATAAAGATGATCTTAAAGAAGAAAAAGATGATCTAAAGATAATGAGCATGAATGAAAGAAGATCTAAAAAAGATGATAAAGATGATATAAAAGATGATCAAGATGGATATAAAGATGATCTAAAAAAGATGATAAAGATTAATCTATAAGATGATAAAATTGATCTAAGAGACGATCTAAAAGATAGATCTAAAGATGGATATAAAAGAAGATCTAAAGATAAAAATAATAATGATTGATCTAAAAGAAGTTGATCTAAAAGATCCGAAAGATTATAAAGATTGATGGAAAAAAATTCTTAAATTTTTTATGGAGAGAGAAAAGATAAGATCTAGAAAGAAAAGATAGAATCTAATAAAAATATATCTTTTCAATTCTACCTTGTTTTTCTTCTTTTTATTTTTTTTATTTTTTTGCTGGAAAAATAAATATGAGAAAAAAAGAAGAAGCTTTTTTAAGTCTAAAATACGGATCTAAAGCTCAAGGTGCCCCATGGTGGGCGTTAAACTGTTCACGCTTCAATCTGTGTCGATCTCCGGGATGAAATCTGCTCAAATCTTAGCAAAAACTGAGTTATTTTTGAAAAAGTAGATAAAGTGAGGTTGGTTGAATTATGGGCTCAGAAAAATCCCAGATCTATACAGTTCTGGTCTTTGTCCGAGTCCACTAGTAGTGCCAGCTTCAAATCCATATTTTGACCTAAATAAAATCAAATGAAGAAAAACAAACTAAATTAAGCAAAGAAAGAGATATTTACCTCTCGGGACCTGAAACCTGGTGTTTTGGGCTTGGATCAAGCCGCTCTTCCGATTTGCTCAACCTTCTCCTTTTTTGGATGCCTTTGCTGACTGGAATTGGCTGATCTAAGGTTCTTTGACCTAGGGCTCCAAAGCATATAGAAAAGCTGAGAATTTTAGGTAGGGTTTACCTTGGCCTTTTTTGGGATTGGATGATAATTTCCTTAGTTTTCTAAGGGTTTTGGAACCTCCTAAGGTTGAATATGAATTCTGGGATTTTCTGTGATATTTTTGGGATTTTGTGGGATTTTTTCTAATTTTTAGAAATTTTCGAATGGTTTTTTCTATTTTTGGGTTATTTTTCTAATTTCGGGAATTTCTAAGGGATTTCATCATCTTCTTTCTCTTGTCTCTTTTTGGGTTATGGATGGGGTATTTATAAGATTCAGCAATTGGTGATTTTTCTTGATTTTTTTTTGAATTGTTTCAATATTTTTGTTATTTATCTTGAAGTTTTGTCTTATCTAATTAAAGAAAACGCATTTCCTGCGTCATCAGGCTACGCCTGGGCCTGCCGGGCCGCGTGACGGCCCGGCCCACAGCTGACACTTGGGTCTCACAGGGACTAAATTGTCATTTATTGGATCTTTTTATCTATAGGTCCGATATAGGCTGTTTTTGGCCCGTTGGAAAGCTCTCGGGCTCTACTTCAAGTTGGGATAAGTTTTGGGTAGTTTTGGGGCATGTACATTGGGTCTAGGTTGCCTATGATCTACTAGGATTTGTGTGGTCCTTTAGGATCAGAATCGAGGTTTTTAGTAGTTCCCTTAGCAAGAATTTCGAGGGGGTGTCTACATAAGTACTCTACTGGGCTAGTTTGAAATAATGGTCTCGGAATGACCTAACTAGCCTATGCTCCATAGTTTGTGGCAGGGACACATAAGATGGCTTATCAAAGCCTCGCCCCCGATCAATATCTCATCATTCTCGGTTATCAGTGGATTACAAGCGAGCTCAAAGTTACAACAAATAAGTGTAAAATAATGATGGGAGGACGATGGTCAAATCCTTTGTGGGGCCATTGAAGGGGGGGGCCTTTTAGGGACTTAGTGTTGTCCCATGGATGATGGCGAGGACGACTCATATCACATGGGCTGATTCATCTTTAAATGGGAATCTTATGCTCGAAATTCATTTGATTAAATTTAAAATGTGTGTGTGTGAGAGAGAGAGAGAGAGAGAGAGAGAGAGAGAGATGAATTTTGATGCCCAAAACAGTGAGCAAAAGTCAGCTATAAACAACTTGAATTATGTGAGTATATATGTCCATAGACTAAGGAAACAAGAGTTTAGTTTCATGAGAGAAACTATCTAGGTCCAAAGGCTAATGAAATGATACTCAAATACACAACAAATGATTATTGATATACTAAAAAATCTTAGAGAAATCTCAGAGAAAGCAGGTAATGAAAAACAAGGAGAAGATGATGTCTAGGTGCAAAGTATTGAACTAGACTATGCACTTGTGATGATATGCATGCAATAGTTTCATCACGGCCTTAGGCTTTATGAATACTCAAGCATATAAGTATGAAGATGCTATTGTAAAATGTGATTTACAGCAAGAAGAAGATGACTGAATCACTCTAGAAAAGAAAGGAGTGGAGCTATGGAAGTTACCTCAAGCCTATACATCATGAGAGGAAGTTTTAACGACCATGGGGACTTCGCTCACCACAAGATGGAACAAGGAAGAAGAAAACAATGCGTGGGACGAGCTCACCTCTCTATTATCTCTCTCTAAAATGAGTTCTCAAGTGTGTAGACAATGAGGTTAGGCAATTCAAGCGAGGTATTTCAAGTAACTAGATCATGGGCTTGATGCTCATCATTCATGGCACATGAGAGGACTTTGATCTTAGCAACTCATCCTTGTCGAGTCATAAAGATCAAAGGATGAGATTTCACACTCTTAGCACTCCTTTAAGAAATCCTAGACTATCCATTTTACTAAATTGTTTTTTTCAGAGCAAAGTTTTCAAAAATGCCATTTCTCAATTCCAAAAGTGCCCATGGTGATTTTTGAAATTAAAGAGGGAATAAAGGTGTAGGGGTGTGCTCCTCATGTAATTTAATAAATATCTTGCTTTCATCCTATGGAATGAAGCCATTTCATGAAATTCATGTGAGCTCAAGCCAATGAAGTGATGCCAAACAAAAAGCTGCATTAAAAGTTCACTTTCTCTCATGGATTTAAGTTTAAGCTAAAATCATGGCATGCCCAAAACCTAGGTTCATATGAATAAGATCACATGTGTGCAAAATAACGTGTTAATTAAGTCACTTAAAATATAAAACATTTTCTCACATTTAAAACCTTATAACTTAAATGAACAAAATGACAAATGACAATAAAGGGCATCCATTAGGCCTTGACGTCATGATGACATCAGCCTTAAGTGGGGCCGTGAGGGTGCCACATGTCCCACTTGGATGGCATGCGGGCCACCTAGTAGATGTCCTTGATTGAAATTTTAACCAAACAATTTTAATAACTCCTTTTTCATGCACTGGAAAAATTCCGTAAAATTTCAAAAAAAAATCCGTAAATCATTTTCTACAATAAATACTCATTCTAGCATCAAAATAAAATGGACAAATGGTAAATGCAATCTCTAAGGTTGAAAACTAGGTTATCGGAGTATTCCATTGGGCTAGTATGTAATGATTGTTCATTCTCTCGAAATGACCCAACAAGCTTATGGATAGGCTCCACAGTCTATGGCAGGGACATATAATTATTAAGTTTTGTGTCTTTAAAGGAAAGCTTGTAAAAATGATAATTTTTAGTGAAATATGCACTTTAGTGGGAGTGTGTGTTGACTGACCATTGGTTGGGTGCAGTGTTCCAAAAATCGACCCACCCTAGCACCTAGGCAGCCACCTACACGGGCCAGGAGGCTTGGGCGCATTGTTCAAGCCTAGGCGGGCAAATTGGGTGGGTTGTCCCTTGGCGGCCTCCTAAGCATCTGGGGCCCCGCCTAGGCGGGTGCCCAGGTCCTACGCCTTGCCTAGGGGCGAAAATGCCCCTCATTTTCATATCCAACCTAAACCCCATTTGAACCATTTTAAAGAGATAGAAGCTTAAAAAAAAAATTAGTAT